ATAATTTTGTTCCCAAATACCCTCATAAATTTGGTGAAAATTGGGCCTCATAAGCTGCTGATGAAGCCAGGGTAAAAGACTTTTAACAATGTTAAAAGTATAAGTACATTCAAAGTATAAGTGGGTAATAGTCTCTCTCTCAGAATGACAAAAACAGCAGGAATTAGCAACCTGAATTCCCCTGGCTGCAAGCACATCTGCAGTTTTTAATCCACCACGAAAAACCAGCCAAACATAAGCAGCATAACGAAGGGACCCCCTTTTGTGCCAAATGTGTTTAAACCAAGCCACATTTTCCATTTGAGAAAAATAAAGTTCATTAAAATCACTAAATTTAGGATTTTGCTTATCCACCCAGAAGTGATTTTCAACTTGAGATTCAATAATCACAGACTTAATAAGAGATTGAAGATTATTGTCCAAACAGTTAGGAGTGTTCCAGTTACCATTATGAATGAAGTAGGCAACAGTTTTGTCAGATAACAGAGGCATCAAGGATTTTTGAGAGGAATTGCTCAGTAAATCAGCAACCGAATTACCACCACACCACGGGTCCCAAAAAAACGAGAGGTTGCTTTCAGGATGAATGGAGAAAGAAATGCAGTTTTTTATCTCCCTAGCCTTAGTGCACAGAACATTCCAGTAATAAGATTTCTTAGTAGTAAGGGAATTCCACAGAGAAATGTACCTTTCTCTCCACCAGGAAAACAGCAACGAATTATCATTTAAAAACCTCCATATGGTAGCACACAGAAAACTTTGATAGAGGGACTCAAGGGACGGAATTCCCAATCCCCCTTTGGACTTAGGAGCACATGTATTTTTCCATGATATAGTCATGAGTTTCCTCTCATTAATTTTGCCATAGAAAGTGAATCTGGAGCAGTGTTTAGCAATGGTTTTACAGCATTTTTTGGGTATAATGGATCCACGGATCCAGTATGCTAACGTATTAGCAATGGTATACTTAATAAATTGAATTCTCCCAGCAAGAGATAATGATCTAGCCTTCCAACCATCAAGAAGAGAATTAACTTTGAGCATCAGAGGTTGAAAGTCACTAGTTTTCAGTTTTTTATAGAAGATTGGAATGCCCAGATAGGTGATAGGAGTGTAGGATTGTTGAATATTGAGAATGCTGCAAATACTCATGGCTTCACGAGAGTTCCTAGAAATAAGGATAGAGCTTTTAAGAGGATTAACATTAAGACCAGTACAGTTAGCAAATTCCTTAAGAATATTGCTAATAGTTTGCGCATTCCTGGAAGTAGCAGCACCAAACACCAGCAGGTCATCAGCAAACATCAGATGGGAAACAGAGCAGTTTCCTATATTGATCGGTTGGAAGGAGTTGTTGGAAACAGCCTCATCAAATAAGGAAGATAATCCATCCATAATTATGCTAAAGAGGTATGGGGATAATGGGCATCCTTGTCTAATCCCGGAAGTAGAATTAAAGTAACCTTGAAGTGCCCCATTGATACATATGGAAAAAGGAACATTGGAGGTACAAGCTTTGATCCAATTGATAAACATTTCAGGGAAACCTTTAGTTTCAAGCCGTTTATACAAAAATTCCCTAGAGACCATGTCAAACGCTTTTGTAATGTCAAATTTAGCACATAAGAACTTGTTCTTAGCAAATTGGTTGAAAGAACTAAGAATGTCAGCTGCCAAATGAATATTATCAGAGATGATTCTTTTGTGTATAAACCCACCTTGGCTAGGGTTTATGATAACGGGCATAACCAGTTTCATCCTATTAGCTAGGATTTTTGCAATAATTTTGTAGAGTACATTACAAAGAGCAATCGGTCTATAGTCTTTGACATTACTAGCATGGGAATGCTTGGGAATTAAAGCTATGGCAGTGGCTTTAACTTGGTTTGGCATGCGACCAGAATTAAAGAAGTCTGTGATAGCTCTAAAAAGCTGCAATTTGATCACATTCCAAGTAGATTTGTAAAAATCAAACATGAATCCATCCGGTCCAGGAGCAGTGTTTGAGTTTCCAGCAAACACAATGTTTTTAACCTCTTCCATAGTAATCGGGGCTATGAGGATGGAGGACATGTGGTTAGGAATCACATTCCCAGCAGAGATATCCATATTCGTCAGAGGAGGAGCTGGAGTGTTGAAAAGACTCTTAAAATGATTAATGAAGACATTAGCAATTTCAGCTTGGGAAGTGAAACTGCCTTGATCATTGGATATAATCTTGATCTTGTTGTAGTTTTTGGTAGCATTGATTTTAGAATAGAGGAATTTTAGATCATCTTCACCATGAGTAATCCACTTAACTTTGGCTCTTTGAGAAATCCAACTAGTAAGGGCAGCTTGAGAGTATGCAAGTTTGTTGTTGGTTTGATGGAGATTACTGTTGAGTTGGGCATCCAAAGGATTGCTTTGGATCTGTGTGAGTATCGAGTGTTGGTAAGCTTTGAGAGAGTCAATTTCAACTTGAATATGATTGGAATTGGACCATTTTTTGTGCTTCAAAATGGCTTTAAGACTCTTAAGCTTGAAGTTGAAAGAGCTAAGTGGACTACTCTGATTAGGAATAGAAAACACCTCCAATAAATTATTCCAGAAATCCGGGATTTTAGTACAGTAATTCTTGAAGACAAAACGGTGCCCACGGTTATGATCCATCCAGTTAACCAGAATGAGTGGAGAGTGGTCAGAGCAGTCAGGGTCTGCTACCTTGTAGTATGAGTTTGAGTATTTGAGAAGCCAAAGATCATTAACTAGCACCCTGTCAAGCTTAATATGGATGGGATTGTGATTTTGTTGGTTATGCCATGTGAAAAAGTGACCTATAGAAGAAAGGTCATGTAAGCCAGCATTGAATATCATATTGTTGAAGTCACCAAGCTGAATAGAATTAAGAGGTTTTCCCCCCTCTTTCTCTCCCATATCTCTACAGCAATTAAAATCTCCCATGATTGCCCATGGCATATTGATAGTCTCAGCCACTTCTTGTAAATTTTTCCAGAGTGTTTGCCTCTCAGAATGGGAGTTGCTAGCATATATTGCAGTAACAGCAAAGACTTCATTAGTAACAGTAGAAATTTTTCCATGAATGAGTTGGTTAGTCATATAAAGTGGAATAAAATTAATAGCATCTTTATTCCATTTAACCCAAATGCGTCCAGGGTTAGAAAACAGAAAATTGTCACAGTTGCTTTCTCTATTGAAGATTTGGTGGTTGGCTAGGAACCAATCATTGGTAAGGTTGGTTTGGGTAATTTTAGCTTCAAGGATGAAGAGAAGGTCTAAGTTATGGGTTTGGGTTAGGAGTTTACAGCTCTTTACTTTGTCAGGGTTATTAAACCCTCTTATGTTCCAAGCTGCAATGTTCGGGGGGTTCATTGGGACTTATTTTTTGGGGTAGAGGCTTTTTTGGCTTGTTTACCTCTAGTTTGTTTGACATTTTGGCTTGGCTGGGTTTGGGTTTTAACGGAATGCGTGGATGAGCTTGTTGAGTCATTTGAGGTGGTAGGAATGTTCGGCTGATGTGTACGAGGAGATGTTTGAGCTGGACTATTGTGATTTAGCATGAGATTGATATTGTCCAAGGCAATGATGTTCAGGTTTTTTGGTGAATGAGGTTGGTATAGGTTTTGAGAAGGTGGTTGAGAATCTCCATCTTCTTCCTTATCATGATCAGATAAGGTTTGAAATTTGTTTGCTATTTTTATAAGGGGCTGTTCTTGTGTCCTAATTTGAATTTCTGAAGAGTCTTGAACATCACCTGAGGGTGAGTTGAGGTTAGGTATTTTGGGATTTTCAACAAGGTTGCTGTTTTGTGTTTTTCCTTGTTGGGTATTGTTGGTCTGAGGTTTATTTTGTTGAGGATGTTTAGGAATGTTGAGTTTAGGAGGAGGGGAAGGACGGGGTTTTCGGCTAGAACTTCTACCCCTGTTGGAGACATGGTTAACCGGCTTTTGTATAGGATCTTTGGGGCAAAGGGTAGGAGGATGCATAATAGAGCCACATTGTGAACAATGATCTGGTTTCCAATCATATTGGACACGAAGTGGGGAGACCTTTCCATCAACATTATAGAAAATTTCGTCAGGTAGGGTAGAAGTACTGGTGACTTGAACACACACTCTAGCAAAAGTAAGACGTGTTTTTGCTGTCGTAAGGGCATCTACAACAATGGGAATACCAATACAACTTGCTAGTTTAGATATACCTTCCGGCGTCCAGAGTGAGAGCGGAAGATTCAAGATTTTTACCCACAGAGGAATAGAAGGAAATTCCTCTCTCTTTGGAACAAAATCTGGAGTCCACTTCTGCAAAATGAATGGTTTTCCAAAGAAAAACCAAGGTCCTCTGGTCCATGCATAATCATAATCTTCTAGGGCAGAAAATTTTAGAAGGAAGAAGCCGTCATCCATGGTAAGGAGGGAGATTTCTCCTTTGAGCTGCCAAGCCTTCTTTATCGTCGCGAGGAGTGACTCGTAAAAAGGCCTTTTTCCAATAGAGTAACCAACTAGAGAAAGAGTCCATTCCGACGCTCCTGCAACAAATTGCTCGGTAGTAAAGTTGGCCGTGAAGTTTTGGGTTGGGGTGAAACCAAGAGAGTGAGAGAAATCAGTGGAAATTTGTGGTGCAGAGGTTAGAAGATTCTTCCAGAGAGGAAGTATAGAGGAAGAGGTGATGGTGGAGCCGGCAGCTGCAGCGGATGAAGGGAGCAGGGGAAAGACGTCTTCCGACATAGGGGAAGAACCCCTAGCCAGAGGAGGCGGCGGGAGGAAGAGCAAACCCTAACCCTAGCAGGCAAAGCTTCTCGCGCAAGAAAACTCTCACCGGTAACGCTAAGGTATAAGCCCTCTCACTTGTTGTCAGTGATATCATTATTAATGGAGAAGATGAAGTGGATATTTTATTTGTAGTTTATCCCAAAAAAAAAAAAAAAAAAAAAAAGTTTGCTCTTCCCTTAAAAAAAAAAGTTTCTTTTTCTTCTTTTGTTTTATAGTGACAGAAGCTTTCATCAGCAAAGATGATTTGTGGATATCGTTGGGATGTGGAGAATTGCGCCAACGGCCAACCTCACAGTTTGATATGAGGATGAGATTAGTTAGGTTTTTTATGAGAGATTAGGGTTTTGCTTCGAGAGTTTTATCAGAGATTTCTACTGATGCGTCTGTCTCTGCTTCTTCCTCTTCTTCTGATCTCATTTTTTCTTTCATTTCTGGTCAAAGAAGTTCTCTGCATCTACAACTTTACTCGAAATGACTTCCCTGCGGATTTTGTGTTCGGCGCCGGCACTTCTTCTTATCAGGTTTTGATTTGATCAAATCCCCATTCTTTTGTTCTCATTTTCTCTAACTGACAAAATTTTGGAAGAGAGAGACCTAAACATTTTTGTCTGATACCGTGCGTGCATAGTACGAGGGGGCAGTAGCAGAGGATGGAAGGACACCGAGCATTTGGGATACTTTCACCCATGAAGGTGAGTGTCTTCTCTTCTACTTTTTCCTTATGAAATTTCAGATGATGAAATGAAATTTAAATCTTTACAGAGTAAATATGACAGATCTAGGAGTTTTTGTTTTGTATCAAAGTTTCAAAAAATTTAAACAAAAAACTAAGGAATTTTACTTTTTTGGTACTTTTCATGAAGTTTCAGAATCATTAGTAGCTTACAACTGTAACCCAAAGGTTGAAGAAGAAATTGATAAGTCTGTAAGTAGTAGTTTGTTGTTAGCAGTGACATTTTGTTAACTTTAACTTTGGATTGGTAAAAAATGAAGGGGGGATACCAGACAAGAGCACAGGGGATATAGCTTCGGATGGTTACCACAAGTACAAGGTAAACCCATTGTTGATGAATGATGATTTGCTTTTTGTTAGATTTATGGCTAATCTGTTGGCCAAAAAGCCAGCCTAATGATAAGGCATGCTATTGTCCATTAGACATCATTTGGCTAATCATTTTGGCAAGTCAATTCAGTTCTTTTCAGTCAATTTCAATTCTTTTTTTTATCATAATTTTCAAAGATTTAGAAGCTAATAAAAGTTGGGTTTATTTTATAAAGGAGCAGTTTAATGTTTAAAATTAGCAAAAGAAATATATTTAATATAAAATTTAAAAAGGAGCTAATTTGTCAAATAAAATAGCGTATTCAGAACACGTCAAAAGAAATGGGGCATTCTAAATACGCTATTTGATTTAGGGCATTCATCTCAAATAGGAGAGAGAAATAGAGCTAGAGAGAAAAAATTGACAAAAATCAAAGAATTAATCAAAATTTTAGGCGTTTTCTCCTTAGGATAAGAGAGAGGCGGAAGAGAGAGATAAGGGGGGAGAGAGAGAGGTAGTAGGAGAGGAAAAGAGGGTGGGAGAGATTTTTTTTTGCTTTTTGCTTTTTACAATTTTAAAGAAAAAGTTTAAATAAAATTTTTTAAAATAAAAAAATCGGAAATTCGTCGGAAAACCCGCCGGAAACAATTCCGCCGGAACTCCGCCGGAAAATTCCGCCGGTAATGGGCAGTTTTCCTGTAGTGTTTCTTTTGGCGTATTATGAATGCGCTATTTTATTTAACGAATTTGCTCCTTTTTAAATTTTATATTAAATATGTTTCTTTTGCTAATTTTAAAGATTAAACTGCTCCTTTATAAAATTAACCCATAAAAGTTTTAGTAAATAGCCTGGTTAAGAATTTCCTTACAAAAAAAAATTATCCATGAGATATTTACTTTACTTGTAAATATGTTTATTGTTCTCTAGGAAGATGCCAAGCTCATGAGTGATGTTGGGCTCGAGGCGTATAGATTCTCCATCTCTTGGTCTAGGGTTCTCCCAAGTATGGCATACCAGAGGCCTTAAATATTTATTTTCTTTAAAATCCATGCAAAGGAATTACTTTTTAACGAGGACTTTCTAGCTATTTTATGTTTACAGATGGAAGGGGCACCGTCAATCCTAAAGGCTTGGAGTACTATAAAAGTGTTGTCGATGAGATATTTGAAAGAGGTCATTTTTTTGCTTTTGTGATTAAATGAGTTTTGTTTTCATTGAAACGTTGAAGTTTTGCAACAAAACTCATCCTAAATATTTTCTTATGTTCTTTTATTTCTCTCCTGAATTAGAGGAATTTATGACAAGTTGAATCCTAAATCATGATATTTGTTAGATCCATCATTGTGTCGGGACCCCTTTTTTTAAGAAAAGCTATTTTTTATCTTGTGAAAGTTAACTATCTATTGCTATCTTTATTACTGCATTGTAAAACAGAAAACATCTTACAATTCGATGGAAATATCTTGAGTTGAAGAAGAAATGTCTTGCATACCTATGTAAATTTTGCTAAGGATATTTGGATCTAAGTTTCATATGCATAAGCATAATAGCCAATGAGTATACATTAGGCCGAATTGCTAGTCGATGCAATATTGATTGTACCACATACAATATTGTTTGGTTACTAGAGTTTTGCTCCTTTTTTATAGGTATCAAGATTCATGTTAGTCTTCATCATTTGGATCTTCCTCAAGTACTTCATGATGAGTACGGCGGATGGCTTAGCCATAGGATTGTGTAAGTTTTACTCATGGACATTTTAGCCATTTTAGCCATGTATGTCTCCATCATTGGAATCATAAAATGAGAATTGGACATTTTAAAATTTCTCTCTCGACCAATTCAATTTGACAAGTGCATATTGATATTGATGCAGGGATGATTTCAAAGAATTTGCAGATTTATGTTTTAGGGAATTTGGTGACAAGGTTTCTCACTGGACAACGATAGTTGAACCGAATGTATATGCGACGGCAGGGTATGATAGTGGATTATTTGCTCCTGAAAGATGTTCATATCCATTTGGTTTGAACAATTGCACTGCTGGAAATTCAACAACTGAGCCATACATCGCAGTGCACAATATGCTATTAGCGCATGCTGAAGTTGTTAAGCTGTACAGGACTAAATATCAGGTTTGTCTTAATTCATTTATGTTGAAATGGACTAGCAGATTTGTTTTAGTAGTCTTTCTTAGTGTTTAGTGTCATTTTGATAGGTTTGGACGCTTATAAAAAAAAAAAGAGGCTCAACAAAGCACTGGTTTGAAAATAATTGCTTAATTTTCTTGTAATTCATACACTTAGATTGTTTCTTGCTTTTGTAGAAACGGTGGAGCCTTAGAATTTCTTATGGTTCAGCAAATGCTTAAAGATAGTTTATTATGATTATTGATTCTTAGAAGAGGAGAAATTAATTGTAACTTTGTATGCAGGGCAATCAAAATGGCAAGATAGGCTTGAATTTCTATTCTTTTTGGGGCTACCCGTTTTCAAACTCCTCTGTAGACATCAAAGCTGTACAAAGAGTATTTGAATTTCAGTTTGGCTGGTGAGTGCTTATACTGGTCTCCATATGATAGTGTATCTATAATGAAAGTTTGCCATAAAAATTTAAAAATAACGTACTTTACTTTGAACGATGTGATTCTAATAGATGAGATTGGAAAAATAAGTAACTGCAATGGTTGAAGAACAAAGTCCTTTTATTTTAAGATAAAATTAGGAGAATAGTTAGTGAACATTTATTAGGTAATTTTGTTGTGATTCTTGGGGTGGAAAGAAGCTTTCTTCAGCTTCTTGGAAGAGAGTAGGATAGAGAGAGAGAGAAGAGAAGAGGGAGAGAGCTGAATCAATATTTTTATTGTTTAACCATCCATCTAATTACAACCTATAGAGTCTATTTAAAGACACAAATAGTTACACCAATGGAAAGACAAGCCATACAAGAAACTACAGAAAAGTTGGATAAAAAACTCTTACAATTTTATCATTTTTGAAAGAAAGTCTTAGTAATAGTAATAATTAATCAGTATTGATCATTGATTTATTTTCACCTTGGTGTGATAGTATGGGATGTATTGAATCTACTATAAAAAAATTATAAATATAAAAGAGGATACAAGTACTATAGTTGAATTTTAAAGTGTCTATAAAACCTGAGTTGTTTGTATCTGAGTGTTAGGTGAACATCAGTAAGAACTGAGTCATATGTAATGGAAATATGAATGCTAAGATGGATGTAGGATAAGCTTAGGAGGATAAAGTGCAAAATAATATTAGAAAATGTGTCTAACACCTTTTAAAGGGGAAGTTAGAAAAAGAAAGTCTTAATAATTTTGGGGCCACAAAGAATATTAGAGTTGTATGAAGAAATTGTGCAAAATAATTTATGAAAACTCAGTAAACATCATTTGCAAAACTATGAATGGAGAAGAAGGATTCATAAAACTACCCCCAACTTTATGGGATTAGGCTAGTGACAATTAGGACTATGAATTTGGTTTTAAGATAAAAAGTCGAATTGACTTGATTTGTGACAAGTCTGGATCAGGTCGAGCTAGCTTAAGTTCAAATTGAAATGTATATACATGAATGCATATATGCATATATAGATATGTTGATATTTACTTGCTTTTGATCTAATATATATAGGACTAAGAATGTCATAGGACACTGTAAATATATCAACATCAGATTGAGCTAGCTTATAGCCAAACTTGGTTTGGCTCATTAAAAATAATTGATTAACTTCGAGCCGATCTTGAGCTAGTTATATTGATTCAATAAATAGTTACCCTAGTGGCAATCTAATGGGAAGTTGATACAATTTCAACAAAATTAGAGGACAACACAAGAAATTTAAGCAGAAGAACACACAAGAACTCTTTTAATTGAAAGAACTAAGAAGAAAAATACAATATATAATTGGATCTTCAATTGGAGAAGAAGATCTGGCTCTCCAAAATCCCTACCTTTCGGCTACTCAACCTAAGAAAAACTAATTCCAGTAAAATAAAGCATAATCTTAAATCACCCCATAGTTAGCTTTAAATAGGCTCTCCTAATTCTCTTCCAAATTAGCCCCCTTTACCTAAATAATTACCTCTCACATTTGAATTCAAATTAGACATCTTTCTCCAATTAATTCCCTCCCAGTAGTAATTACAACTTTCCTCTCTTGATTCTTCCTTACATAATGAATATTAACTCCCATATGTTTTCCCTAAATAATTCATTCTCCATTGTAATTAAAATTTTCCTAAACAGTTCCCTCTCTCTCTCTCTTCTTGCTCGCCGCCCACCCTAGTGGGGCCCACTGGCTCAGCCGCTAGTTCATCACAATCACAATGGTTTTGGTCGCTTTTTGGTAGTAGTTTACTAGCATAGGAAATGCTGACCGGTTTCTATTATTAGTAGCACTTCAAAAAGAAAAATGTTACACTGACACTTCCAATCTTTTATCATGTCATAAGTTCATATCCACAATGTCATAATACTACCAGCTATCCATTTTTTTTGCTAGAAGAGGAAAGTATAATAAAACTAAAACATATTGTTTTTTTTTCCTTCCAAATATAGGATATTAAATCCTATAGTGTTTGGAGACTATCCAGAGATCATGAGGACGATTTGCAGCTCGAGGCTTCCCAATTTCACTACATCCCAGATAGAAATGCTGAAGGGCTCGTTCGATTTCATTGGTCTTAATCACTACACATCTGCATTTGTCATGGATAATTCCATCATTCTTAAGATGTACCCTCGAGATTACATTTTAGATATGGGTGCCAACATAGCAGGTTAAGTTTTTGTCCTTCCCTTTCATTGTTGGCCATGGCATTTCCAAACTGTCGCTTGAGCATTAATGGAAATTCTCTCCTATTTGCAGCATCTAGGAATGAAACGCCAAGTGGTTCGGTAAGAACTTCCTTTAATTTCTTTTCAATTTTGAAATTTAAACTTATAATGCTTGAGATGGTTTACTTATGGCATCTTTGCACCAGTTTGTTCCTACTCACCCTCAAATTGATCCTGCTGGGTATCAGAACATGCTGGAGTACCTTAAACATAAATATGGGGATCCTCCAATTTATGTTGAAGAGAATGGTTTGCAATTTATTATCATATTCTTTTCCTATCAACTTTAAACTTGTAAAATTTATCATTAAATTTCTATAATATGATTTTATTATATGATAATTTTGAGAAGTAGGCATGTACCAACTAAATGTTAATGATGAAAATCATTTTGGTATTGATAATTGAAGTGTTCACTATCAGGATATGGTTTGGGAGTTAACGGCAGTGCACTCAATGACTATGCAAGGATTGATTTCTTGAGACAACACATTGGGGCCACACTTGAAGCTATTAGGTATTTCTTTGAATCCCTTCTTAGGATTTATATGATTTCTTTTTAAATAAAGCATGATTTATAAAATGATAAAATTTATTAGATTCCATCATTTGATTTTTTATTAAGAATTAATCAGCATTGGGATTAACTATTTAAGTTTTATTATTACCTAAAAATTATTTTTCATATACAAACAGTGAATTGAGCTGATTCTAGGTAGCGAGATAAAGACTTGATGTTGTTGTTGTTGTAAACAGTGAATTGAGATTTGAGCCTAAGATGAAATATGTTTTATATAGAGCTGTAAATGAACTGAGCATATGATGAGGTACTCATGGCTCGGCTCGATAAGAGCTCGTTCATGTTCGTTTGATAAGGTAAACGAACGAGCTTGAACACTTTCGATAAATACTCGATAGCTAAATAAACGAGCATGAACAACTTGTCGTTCGGTTCATTTATGTTCATGAACAATATCGTTAATGCTCATGAACAAACTTATTAAGAAGCTCGATTAGAACTATATTAGAGTTTAAAAAATATATAATGTTAAATTTAATAATTTAGTAATTTATTTATAATAATCCTATTAAAATCGTTTAATAAATTATTTTATTTTCCGCATTTTCCTAAAAGCGCAAACAACTCGCTATAAATCCTAGATCGTTTGTTCATGAATGAGCTTGTTTGGTAGCTCAAGAATACTCATTAGATATATTCGTGAACGAGCTTGTTTGATAGTGTAAAAAACTTTGATAGATATAATCACGAATAGACTCGATGTAATTATTTGTTAGAAGGTTCGATAAGGCTTGTTTGTTAAGTTAATGTACATCTAAAAGTAGAGCTCGTTTATATAGCTCAATAATACTCGTTTGTTTAAAACTCGATAAGCATGAAATGAACCGAACATGAACACCCATTAATTTAAACGAACCAATATTGAACATAAACACAAAAGCTCGAACAAACTCGAGCTGAACTTGAACAAGCTGATAATAAACGAATTCAAACATGAACAAGCACATACTCGGCTCGGCTTGGTTTGTTTTATATAGTGTAGTGAGCATAAAATCATTTCATTTGAAGCCATTTTTGGAGTTTAAACCCCATTATTTTCTCTATCCAGACAAATGATAATAGAATATATCAAATTTCATCATTTTAGAATTTGCATTTTCTAACTGCAAGCAGCATGGCGAGTCTTAAATCTGGAAGCATATTTTGTAAAATGATGAAAATTTTCAAATTTCTCAAATTTAATGATTGTGTTTTCCTCCCACCAAATAAATGAAAGTGATATCACTATGAAACTTATTGAAATTCTCTTCAATCAAATATTAGATTTAAATTCATTATAAAATCACTTCCAATCAAATATATTGAAGTGATTTCAGAATTACAACTTGTTAAAACCAATGTATTATAATTTCTCTGTGGATTTTGATTTAATATTGTCCTCAATGCAGGAATGGAGTAAATGTTAAAGGCTACTTTGTTTGGTCATTTGTTGATGTTTTTGAATACTTGGGTGGATACCAATCAAGGTGTGGACTTTACCATGTGGACTTTGATGATGATTTAAGGCCAAGAACTCCAAAGCTTTCAGCACATTGGTATTACAGTTTTCTGAAGAATAACAGTGAGGCCTTCAGCACTGAGAGAACAGATCTTCAGAACCTGCTTCATTTCTCTCAGTGATTCAGAATGTGTGTGTGTGTGTTTGAATCACTCAGTATAATTTATTTTAGTAGGTTATCAGGGCTTCTTTATCTTAGGGATTGAAGCTGTTAGACTGGTCCAGCTGGTCCACATGGAATCGGCCTAGCAAACGGAAGTGAAGGGTTACTCCTTATGCATACCGTGCAAACCGAAAGGAGCAAAAAAGACTGTTTAGGAAGGATTTTGAAGGGAGTTTATGAGGGAAATTGAATGTTGGGACTGTTTAGAGATTTCCTTTTGACTGTTAGGGCATGTTGAATTTGGCTGAAATTTAAGATCTCTAAGTTTCTTTGATCTCTAGCGGCGTCTAAAAATTTGGAAGAGAAAGATCCTCCTATCGAATAGAGGATCAATTGTATCTTGTTATTTTATGTTTCTCTTTCATCAAATAATACAAATTATCTACGGTTTCGTGATTTTTGTGGAGAATTCCCGCTTCATAGGAAATACTTGAGATCTACGAGTGTTTCCTATAAGAAGCTTTTTTGAAATATTAGATCCTCTTGTGTTCAAGATTATACATGTAGACATAAGCTAGAAATACTGAAATACATTGAACAATGACTATATGATAAAAAAAAATATATATATATATTCAACATGGAATTGAAATGCATTGAACTTACTTTTGTGCAACTCCAAGCAGCCATTTCACATCAACTCTTTTTTCATTCATAAGAGAATAATGTGAATTTTTACAAAAAAAAAAAAAAAAAAAAAAAAAAAAAATTATGCTTATTTGGTGCGTTAATGAATTTTATCCTCTATGATGAATTTATATATGTTGCATGCTAGAAAATGCATAGGGTTAGTGAGTTCTATGGTGTAGTTTTGCATGAAGATTTAGCACACATGAAAAAAGTTGCCAAATTTTTTATATAAAAATTTTAAAAAGGAAAAAAATTATGGGACTTGATTAAAATAATCAACTGCATATTTAAAGTTACAAATGTTTGTTATTCTTGATAATTGGAGAAGATGGGACTATAAATTTTGGAGTAGTTGTTTGATCTCCTATAGTTGTAATAAATATTGTAGGAGAAGTAATGGAGTTATGATAATAGTAGAAGGATGATGTCGGTGGATAATAATATTTGGATGATAGTAAACAAATAGTGGTGTTCGGACAATAGTGCTCAAACAATGATGTGCAGAGACAGTGGTTGGATGATGGTGGTTAGAAGATAATGATTTGACGACTATTTTCGAATGATGGAGAATGGATTATTAAAGTGTTAAGCGGTGGTTTCACTACCAAATGATACTACAGGTAAATGGTTATCATCATGACTCTTTGAGTGAGTGATTTTGTCACTAAATGTCACCATTAAATTATAGTCATGGTCAGAGCCTGTATGTTTCCCAACGACACTAAATCTTTAAGTAATGAAGCAATAAGATATGACAGATAGAGCACAAAGTCATCTGTTAGCTAAGGTGGACTCAAATTTGTCCCCTTAGGCAAACACTCACCCCAAGTCTCCAAGGTTCCCTTGGACGATGCAACTCATGGTTGTCGAGAAGGATCCTTTGGTCAAGTTGGGTCGACTACCCCCTTTGACTAAGTAGATTAGGGACCATGATAGCCTTGGACGGACCATGATGGCCTGAGGCGATGGAATCATGAGATATTGATCAGGTCTATCATCATTCGCTTTAAGTGTGTGGTGATATAAATTTTAGTTTTCAAATATCTAACTTTTATGCTATTGTACGTTGGGTACTAAATGCCTGTTTGACAACTAGCCTTAATTGAAAGTCCTCTCTAGTTATCGGGAGGGGTAATTAACTATAGGGGCTTGTGTCTATAGAAAATCTGAACTCATATCATAAAGTACTCGCAAAATGAGGACGAAATCTCTAGTTAATGTCTTATTCAAAACCCAATATGCTTTCTAAAAATTTACCTCGGAACTTGAACTTGTTAAAACTATCCTCGCCGACTAACAAAATAGAAAGGGGTCATGGAGAGGCGGGGGCGCAAATTTTCAGAGCCCACATATAGCTGAATGATGGTAGTTAAATGGTCAATGGCATGTGATGGTGGACACCGAAGATGGTTGAAAATGACTATCAATGTTAAACATTATGTAGAGCTTTAGACTTTTTCGCATATTCAAGATCTCTCCATTCTCAAGTCTAGCTCTCTTTATGTGAAGAATGAGAGCCCATTTATAATATTTTGAGAGTAGCATTTAGATAATTTTGTTCAAAATTTTATAACATTTCATGAATGATTTGCATTAAAAATTTTTATCATAATTTTTTTTTATTTAACATCTAAGTGCTTTAATGAACTTAGAATTGGATTATCTCAGGCTTATTGAATTTGTCTAACTGATGTTAACCTCTGTATAAACAAAACAAGAGGGAAGAAACAAAAAAAAATAGCATGCATACCTCTTGGCCATCGGATCCAAGAATCCCGCTGATTCCCTGCCGATTCGGCGCTGTTTGCAGTCGTATCCCGTAAATCTTGCGGAAATCCTGCGAGCTGCCTCGCACAATGATCCCATTCGCCTCTATAAAATGCGATCGAGGCTCCCGTTCACTACACTCTCGTAGCTTCTTCTCCTCCCGATACCTCTCCTGAACACTTTCAAGCTCCACACACGACACTCTCTGATCTCTCCCACGGCTCCTGTTCGCAAACCCCAACCTTCCCCGATCCCGTTAAAGCCACAGCCCTCTTCTCCTTCCACGAAGAGCTCCCGATCTCCCCTATCTCACCACCTCCATTTACGCTAAATCCAGGCCGCCCCTACCTGTCCCGATTCGGTTCAGAAGCCAAACCTCCAGTCGGCCGAACTCCCCTCCTCCCGTCCCTGCCCTATTCCGCCTCCTTTCAGCCGCAGAGAGAGAGAGAGAGAGAGAGAGAGAGAGAGAGAGAGAGAGAGAGAGAGAGAGAGAGAAGAGAGAGCAATCCCTTACCTTGCCGGCCTACCTCCTTCGACGACACTTCCTTGTTGTCGGATCGGAAGACATTTTGATCGGAAGCACCAACGGGAGCTCAAAGGCTGTGAAGGTAACTTTCCTCCCTTTCACATGCTTATTCGGCCAAATCCCTTGGATCAGTCAAGCCAAAGGGATTTCTTTTTATTATATATATTTAATTGTAATTATGTTAATTAAGTATAATTAATTATGATGATTATTTTTAATTAATCAATATTTATAAATTAATTATGATTAATTAATGTGAAGTAATTATGTTTTATTAAAATTAATTAATGTTATTTAAGTTATAATTAATTCTGAATTAATTATAACTTATTTTCTTAATTGATTTTAATAATATTAATTAATTATTTTAATTAATTTTAATTAATAAAAAAAAAGAATGATGATTAATTAAAAATGATTTTTTTTAATTAATCTTATTTAATTAATGATAATTATAATTAATAATAAAAAAATAAATAATACCTCTCTCTCTCGATCCTCGGGCCGACACCGACATTCCCCGCGAAGGTACGAATCCTCTGAACTCAGATTGTCGCTTCCGTTGTGTGCGGCGGACCGGAAAACCGCCTATACACGCCTTTATTGCGCGTGGTGGGATGGGACCCCGGTCCGACGCCTACGACGAGGCGGGAATCGCCTAAACTCTACTTCGGTGTTCGTGGCGCACCGGAAAACCGCCTATACACGCCTTTATTGCGCGTGGTGAGAAGGGACCCCGGTGCGGCACCTACGGCGAGGCGGGGTCACTTATAAGTACCCCCGAGCGGGGGGAAAGCAAATTGTGTCATTTAAACAGGTACCGTCAGAGCCCCATACACGCCTTTATTGCGCGTGGTGGGAAGAAATATCACGGCCGCGGTGCCCTCGCAAGAGGACACCTACCATACACGCCTTTATTGCGCGTGGTGGGAAAGGCCCAGTTTTCTCGTAGTTTTCCCCTAAACGGGGGAGACGCCGGGGATTTAAAAAAAATCTTGTGGTTCACTCCCGTGCGAATTGCGAGCAAACGAGCGACTGGTAACGACCGTAAGGCGTTCGGCTGGAGTCGCTCTAAAAGTCGATGATCATTCTGGATATGGTTGAGCTGTGGAAATATGCGCCAACCGCGGATTGTTATAAGGATGAGATTAATTAGGGTTTGGCTTCAGAAGTTCTATCAGATATTTCTTTAATGTATCAGTCTTTGCTTCTTCTTCTTCTTCATCTGATCCTTTTTTTTCTTCCATTTTTTACCAAAGAAGTTCTCTGCATCCACAAATTTACTCGTAATGACTTCCCTTTGGATTTTGTCTTTGGCGCCGGCACTTCTTCTTATCAGGTTTCTGTTGATTAAATCCCCTTTCTTTTGTTCTCTTTTTTTGTAACTGACAGAAAGTTGAAAGAGTGAGACCTAATCATTTTTCTCTGAAACTGTGTGTGCGTAGTACGAGGGGGCAGTGGCAGAGGATGGAAGGACACCAAGCATTTGGGATACATTCGCCCATGAAGGTGGAAAGTGCCTTCTTTTACTAGTTTCTTCTTTATTTTCTGTTGACAAAATGAAATTTAAATCCTCCCAGACTAATAAATATGTTAAATCTAGCCTTTTTTTATTTTGACTCAAAATTGTGAAATTTTTAAACAAAAAAGTAAAGAAATTTTACTTCATCTAGTATTCTAGTTTGCTTTTAACGTGCTTTTCATAAAATTTTCTGCGTGATTCATGGCTTACAACTCTAACCCGTTCTTAATGATGGAAACTTGAAGAAGAAATTGATATTTCAGTAAATAGTAGTTTGTTGTTATCAGTGAAATTTTATTTACTTTAACTTTGGATTGGTATACAATGAAGGGAGGGCACCAGGCAAGAGCACAGCAGATATAACTGCGGATGGGTACCACAAGTACAAGGTGAAACCACTGATTGATGATTTACTTTTTGTTAGATTTATGACAAATTTGTTGGCCCAAAAGCTGGTCGAATGATGAGGTATGATCAGTCCACTATACATCATTTGGCAAATCATTTTGGCAAGTTAATTCAGTCCTTGTTGGCATAATTTTTTAGAATTAAGAAGCTAATAAGTTTAATAGACAGCCTAGTTAAGAATTTCCTTACAAAAACTTTAATCCATGAGATATTTACTTTGCTTTTAAAATTTACATGTATTGTTATCTAGGAAGATGTCAAATTCATGAGTGATGTTGGGCTTGAGGCTTATAGATTCTCCATCTCCTGGTCTAGGATTCTCCCAAGTATGGCATAATACTGGCCTTAAATCTTTATTTTCTTTGAAATTCATGAAAGAAATTACTTTTAACATTGACTTGGTGGCTATTTTATGTTTCTAGATGGAAGGGGCGCCGTCAATCCTAAAGGCCTGGAGTACTATAGAAGTGTTGTCAATGAGATATTTGAACGAGGTAATTTATATGCTTTTGTGTTTAAATGAGTTTTGTTAAAAGAATACTCATCATGATTATTTGTTTATTTTCCTTTCTTTTTCTCTCTCAAATTAGACGAATTTATGATATGTTGATTCATAATATTAAGAGGGGATACTTAGATTTTTCGAGCGATGTGCATGCTTTGCATACTTAATTTATTTTTTAGCGCTCTTTTGGTTGCTTCAAATTCGAAAACATGATTTAAAAACCATGATATTTGTTAAATTCATCATTGGATTGGATCTAATAAAAAATACACCTTGAATTTGAGCTCTACATATCCCCCCAAAATCTCCTAAATTTTATTGCACACATGAAATGAGTTAAATCACATTATTATTTCTTAAATATATTTTTTTAATCTTTAAGTAACCAAATGACCCCCTCAAAGGACCAGGAAGAAATTGTTAAGAAGTGTAGAACATGGAGAAAATTTAATATTATTGCTTATCCAGGACAATGCTTGTGGAACCTTCAATGTGTCGTAATTATTGAACATATGGCACATGAAGATTGCTGGCCATTTGGTTATGTGTTATTGTTAAATAGAAGGTCTAAGGTTTGAATAACCAAAAAAGCATGTTTAACTTTAAGTATTAATCAACACTATTGGTTGTGGTCCTTGATGTTAATTTTCATTATTTATGGCTCTCTATTAGTGACATTGTTTATTTCATGAATTATTTTTATAAGCAATGATGGTGTTTAGTCACTCTTACGTTATTTGAAAATTAAAGATTGGTTTCTTTTCATCATTTATTGGGGCTCATTTGTTGCTTGAAATTAGAAAACATATTTTAGAAAAATGATAAGTTTATTATATTCCGTCATTTGGTTGAATGTATTTAGAAATCGTATGTATTTTAAACTCTACAAATGTTTTTAAAATCTCTCAAAATTGTGGATTTTAATTTCATACTCAAAATGAGTGAAAGTAAAATCTAGCATTTTTTAAATAAAATTTATTTTCCATTCAATCATTCACAACAAAGCCCTACATGGGGTCCTGATTGGATACCCATTAGGTACCCATGCTTTACTTTGACGGGCTTCACCCACCCACACCCACCTATGGTGACTTTCGGGATGCCGTACCACCTATACCCATCTACTTTTCATGCTTGTTGAACGCAGTCTACCACTAACTAATGGCATTGAAGCTTGTTGCCATTTGCTCTAATTGCAAACTTTCAAGCTGCATATTAGAATTTACCGTAGTCGTAGCTAGCATGGTTAAGTGTTGCACACTACATAGTGAGGATTGAAGTAATATAAGATATATATTGATTTATCCCTCAATGTTGAGTACCCACCCGTACCCACCCACAAGGCCATGGGCGTACTACCCATACCCACTCATACCCATTGGGTATGGGTGGGTACATGGGTGGGTGTGGGTATGGGTACCCAATGCAGGGCTCTGATTCACAAGCAACTCAATGAGCCCTCAAACTTTTTATTTGTTAATTTATTTCTTGATTTTCTATGCCTATTTGGTTGACCTCTTTTTTGGTAGGATGCTATTGGCAAAAACTTGGTTAAGGTATCCTGTGTTGAATTTAAATTTGGTTGTAATAAATATATGACTTTCAAGTAGTTTTTTCTTTCAAGATAGTTTTTTTTTTTTTTTTTTTAAGAAAGACTATTTTTTATCTTGTGAAAGTTCGCTATATGTTGCTGTCTTTATTATTGCATTGTTAAATAGAAAATACCACCTTATAATTTGATGTAAATATCTTGTAGTCAAAGAAGGATATTCAGCTCTAAGTTTCCTATGCATTAGCATAATAGTCAGAGAATATATTTTTAAGTCGAATTGATAATCATTGCAACATTTAGTGTATCACGTACATTGGTTTGCTTATTAGATTTTTACTCCTTTTTATAGGTATCAAGATTCATGTTAGTCTCCATCATTTGGACCTTCCTCAAATAATTCATGATGAGTATGGCGGATGGCTCAGCCCTAGGATTGTGTAAGTTTCACTCATAGATATCTTAACTAATCCAAAGATTTTCCAAATATTGGATTTAAAAAATAAAAATTAACATGTTAAAATTTTTCTCTCGACCAATTGAATTTGATAAGCACTTATTAATATTGATACAGGGATGATTTCAAAGAATATGCAGATTTATGTTTCAGGGAATTTGGTGAGAAGGTTTCTCACTGGACAACCATAGTTGAACCTAATGTATATGGGATGGCAGGATATGATAGTGGACTTATTGCTCCTGGAAGATGTTCTTATCCATTTGGTTTGACAAATTGTACAGCTGGAGATTCAACAACTGAACCATACATTGCAGTTCACAATATGTTAATAGCGCACGCTGAAGTTGTTAAGCTGTATAGGACTAAATATCAGGTTGTCTTAATTCATTTATGTTGAAATGAATGAGTAGATTAGTTATATAAGTTTTTATAACTGTTTAGTGTCATTTTGGTAGCTTTTGGGCATTCAGTTTCCTTATAATCCATTTACGTGGGAAGTTTTATGCCTTTGTAGAAATGATGAAGCTTTAGAACTTTTTATGGCGCAACAAATGCTTACAGATACTTTATTATGATTATTGATTCTTAGAAGATGTGAAATTTGTTATAAATTTGTATGCAGGGCAATCAAAATGGCAATATAGGCATAAATTTCTATTCATTTTGGTGTTATCCATATTCAAACTCCTCTGCAAATATTGAAGCTGTACAAAGGGTATTTGACTTCCAATTTGGCTGGTGAGTGCTTTTACTGGTTTCCATGTCATTGTTTATCTATAATGTAAGTCTTTACAATAAAAAAATTAAAAGAAAGAATCTTAAATGGTGTGGTTCTGATTGATAAAATTGGATAAATCACTAAATGAAATGATTGGAGGATAATGTTTTTTTAATATGATGCTTAAAATTAGGAAATAATTAGCGACCATTTAATATGTAATTTTACTAGTTTTGAAAGAAATAACAATAATAACAATTAATCAGGAATGATTGCTAATTTATTCTTACCTAGATGTGATAGTTTGGAGATGTTGAATCTACTATAAAAAGAGATTATAAATATATATAAGGGTACAAGTGGTCTAAAAAAAAAAGGGTACAAGTGGTCTAGTTGACTTTTACAGTGTCTCTGAAGCTTGTATTTGACTGTTAGGTAATATGAACATCACTAAAAACCAAGTTGTGTGGTAGTAATGTGAATGCTAAGATGTATGCATGATGAAATTAAGAGGATAAAGTGCAAAATAATATTGGAGAATGTGTGATTAGCTCCTTTTAAAGGGGAAGTTGGGAGTGTTGGGGATGCAAAAAGGATATTAAAGTTGTATTGAGAAGTTGCGCAAAATAATTTATGAAAACATAGTAAACATCACTTGCAAAATTGTGAATGACTAAGAAGATCAAAGATCAAATATTCCAAAGAAGATCGAAGATTGCAATGGCTTAGGCTAGTGATATCTAGAATTATGAATATGGTTTGAGGATTTAAGATTTTCTCAAAAATTGGATTGACTTTTCGCTTGAATTGACTTGAATTGTGATGAGCCTGGAACTAATCAAGCTAACACAAGATCTGATTAAAATGTGTATGCATAAATGCATGCATGCATATTTTGATATATGCTTGTTTTTCATTTTATGTATATATGCATTGATGCATTTTTATATCAATGGATGTATGTATGTATATATTAGACTAAGAATTTGTCTCAAGACATGGAACATAGATCAAAATCGCATTGAACCAGCTTATAACTAGACTTGGCTTGGCTCTTTGAAATCTGATTAATTGAATTTGAGCTGATCTTGAGCTAGAGTTATACTGGCTTGACGTCGAATCTATACTGTAGTGATAATTGTAATCGTGGTGGTTACTTGTTGCTAGTTGGTTGCACGCATAGTACATGCTGATTGGTAGTGGTATTATTAGTAGCACTACGAAAAGAAAAATGTTACAATGTCTCTTCCAACATTTTATCAATTATCATGCATTAACTGCACTTCCACGATGCTATAATAGTACAAACAAATTAATTTTTTTGCTAGAATATGAAATTATGATAAACTAAAACTTAATTGTATTCAAATGTAGGGTGTTAAATCCCGTTGTGTTTGGAGATTATCCAGAGATCATGAAGAAGATTTGCGGCTCGAAACTTCCCAATTTCACCACATCACAGAAAAAATTATTGAAGGGCTCATTCGATTTCATCGGTCTTAATTACTACACATCTGCTTTTGTCATTGATAATTCCAATATTCTCAGTATGTTCCCTCGAGATTACAATTTAGATATGGCTGCTAAAATATCAGGTTAAAATTTTCTTTCCCTTTCAATGAGTGCCATACTTTTTCAAACTTTTAGCTCTAGCATTAATGTTGATTTTCTCCTATTTCAGCATCTAGGAATGATACAGCAAGTGGCGCAGTAAGAACATCCTTTGAGTTCTTTTCAATTTTGAAATTTAAATTTATAATGCTTGAAATGGTTTTATAATTCATCTTTTTACCAGTTTGTTCCTACCCACCCTCAAATCGATCCCACTGGACTTCAGAACATGCTGGATTACCTCAAACATAGCTATGGGGATCCTCCAATTTATGTTGAAGAGAATGGTTTGTAATTTAGTATCATATTCTTTGTATTATTATCTTTTAACTTCACTTAAATAAAGGATAAATCTTTTTGATATTTGAGAAGTAAGCATCATCATCAGTTTTGTCCCAACTAGTTGGGATTTGTTTGTTGAATTCTTGTTTTCTAGTCATTCTTGTTGGGTGATGCATGAGGCGTTAAACATATTGTTTGGAAAGAATTTCAAACTATTTGCATCCATGGTTATGTCTGCCTAATAATTTTACCCCCAGTATACGTATTTCTTAATTTATATTATCTATTTTTTTAGTCAATCAACTTCAACATTCTTTAACAAATGAAAATCATTTTGGTATTGATAATATTGATAATTGATGTGTTCATTGTCAGGTTATAATATGGGAGCCAACAGCATTGCACTCAATGACAGTGAAAGGATTGATTTCTTAAGACAGCACATTGGGGCCACACTTGAAGCTGTTAGGTATTTCTTTGAATCCCTTCTTGGGGTCTATATGATTTCTGGTGAAATAAAGCATGTTTTATAAAATTATAAAATTTATTGGATTCTATCATTTGATTTGATGTTATTAGAAAGAGAAAAGGATCAAAATGGTCCATTAACTTTTTAGGAATGATTAAAATGAACTCCAATTAAATTAAGGGACCATTTTGGCCCCCTGAACTCTTTAAAGTGGGACCATTTTGGTCCTAACAACTAAGTTAAGATTTAATGGTGTTAAAATGAGGGATAATTTGGTCAATTTTTCTATTTTAGTTATTTATTATTTATTATTTTCAAGCAAATATGCAAAGAATTAGATTCTAATGAATCTACAAAATAAAAAATTTGGACGGCAGCCACAAAACAAAAGAAATGAAAATAAAAAAATTTTTCTTCCAACTCAAATGTAAATGTGATGGACTAGCTAATTTGATTTTGAGGGAATTAAAAAGTTTCCTAATAAAGAGGTAGCTGTTTAGGAAGGTTCTTTAACAAAAAGAATTAATTAGGATATGTTTTCTAATTGAATAAAACATATTTGGGGGCTGATTAATTAGAAAATATCTCCTAATTGAAGATGACAGATTTGGGGGCTGATTTTGAGGGAATTAATATAAAATATTTCTTAATTGAACAGAGAAGATTTGTGGGCTGATTTGGAGGGAAGGGTTAGGAAATGTTTCTTAATTGAAGATGACTGATTTAGGGGCTGATTTGAGAGCTGATTTGGAAGGGAAATAATTAAGGAAATATGAGGGAATTGGGGAAGGGTTGTTTCGGTATTTACTATTTATTGTATGCATTAAATAGTTTGTTTTCCTAGGGTTAGGGCATCTTGAATTTAGTTGAATTTGAGATCTCTTAGATTTTTTTGGGCTCTAGCGGCGTCTAGAGATTTGGGAGAGATGGATCTTGCTCTCGATATAAGGATCGACTGTTTCTTGGTATTTTCCTTCCGTATTTTTGATTATTGCAATAAAAACTACTGCTTTTTTTGGTTTTCATGGAGTTTGGAAGAGCTTTCTCGTTGTTTCGAAATTGATAGGTTTACTTGAAATTTTCAAGTGTTTCCTATCAAATTGGTATTAGAGCTATTCAATCCAGGCACCCATGGCTGGAAGAAAAGTAGAAGCATTGGAAGGGGAGATCGGGCAATTGAAATCAGATGATGTAGAAAAGATTTTAGATTTCAAAAAGCTATTTTCAACCATTCATGAGAAGATCGATGAGAAGTTTGCCATCATGGAAGAGATGATAAGAAAGATGCTCGAGTTTCAAACCAAAATGGCGTCGCCAGAGGCAAAGGGAGCCACCAGTGACCAAGAGTGGAGGAAACCCTAATTCGATAAGGAGAGGGAATGATCAGGAAATGGAAATGTTGGGGAAAGAAGGGGGGATGTCACTTTTGGAGCCACTTCCAAGGAGAGGAGAGGGTGAATGAGTGAGACTTTTAGTGGAGCTGCAGAATTTGAAAGGAGAAAAAGATGGGGAGAACATAGAAGCACCAAGCATGATTCTACTACCCCTACAACAGTATCGAGGGGTGTTCTAGTAAGTTCAAGGGTTGAATTTCCTGCGAGCATGTTATCATCTTTAAGGAAGTAGTCCCACCTATCAGTGTTCGCCTATGTTGCACCGATACATCTATTTATGAAGGCGTGCTGTATCCGATACACCGATACACGGATATGCCTCCGATACTCCACCGATACGTTTCGGATACGCCAAAGCCGTATCCAATTAAAACACTATTTAATTTCAAAAGGACACACGTATCCGATACGCGTGTCCGTTGAAAAACAAAAAGAAATCAGAAAAAAAAACGTGTTGTATTTACTTCCGCGGTTGCGAGCAAGATTCTCTCATTTCCGAGATGGATTTGAGTTTCTTGATTATATGAAAAAAATTAAAAAACACTAATCTTTCACTTGATGAGCCTGAATTAGAAGCTATGATATTTATTGAAGATGATATAGAAGGTCAAAGACAAACCAATGAAGAAGATAATTATATCATTACTTCTATTGAATAGGTGAAACTTCATGTGCTAGATAATTTATGTTTATGCTTTTGTTATTGTACTAGACATTTAATGCTTACTTATATTTTGATATTATAAAATACAAGGCTACAAATGATGTTGTTGTCTTTTTTTTTGTAATTTCAAATATTATACTTTGATTATTTTCTTAATTTTTATGTATGATTTATAAATTATAATGCTGTGTCCGCGCCGTACCCGTATCTTGTATTTTTATGAATAGACGTATCTCGTATCCGTATCGTGTCGTATCCGTGTCGCCGTATCCGTATCGGTGCAACATAGGTGTTCGCTTATATCATAATTCTCAAATCTAGAACAAAGAGATTGAGAGATTAATTTAGGATATGCTCGAGGCAGGGATCGTTCGACGTAGTGTCAGTTCATTTTTCAATCTAGTAATATTAATCAAGTGCTTCAACAACAGTTTCGTTTGTTCCACCTTGAGGACAAGGCAGCACTTTGAGAGCGGAGTATTGATGGACCAGTTGATTTGATTTTGAGGGAATTAAAAAGTTTCCTAATCAAGAGGTAGTTGTTTAGGAATGTTCTTTATCAAAAGGAATTAATTATGAGATGTTTCTTGATTGAAGAGAGTATATTTGGGGGCTGATTAATTAGGAAATATTTCCTAATTGAAGTTGACAGATTTGGGAACTAATTTGGAGGGAATTAATTATGAATTATTTCCTAATTGAATAGGGCAGTTTTGGGTGCTAATTTGGAGAGGATTAATTAGAAAATATTTCCTAATTGAAGATGACAGATTTATGGGTTGTTTTGAGAGCTGATTTGGGTGGGAAATAATTAAGGAAATACGAGGGAATTGGGGGAGGGTTTTTTTGGATATTTATTGTTTATTGTATGGATTAGATAGTTTGTTTTCCTAGGGTTAGGGCATCTTGAATTTGGCTGAATTTGATATCTTTTAAGTTTTTTTTGCTCTAGCGGCGTTTAGAGATTTGGGAGAGATAGATCCTCCTCTCAAATTGAGGATCGACTGTATCTTGGTATTTTTCTTTCGTATTTTTGATTATTGCAATAAAAACTACTATTTTGCTTGTTTTTATTGGAGTTTGGAAGAGTTTTCTCGCTATTTTTTTCCGAAATGGATATGATGTGAAACAATCAAGAATTGCACGGAAATATTTAAAAGGATTACAAAGCTTACAACTTAAGATGAAGATTTCGTAGGATTAGATTAAAGAACTTTCATTCGTCAATTTTATTATAGTGAGCAGTTACAATTCAAAAGTTAAGGCATATTAAGATAACTCCGAAATTATCATAGAAAAGCAAATATATTGTAATACAATCCCACGATTAATATTTAGAAAATTCACTATGAGTTACCATGCTCACTCACACTCAAAGTATGGTTTAGCGGAGGAAGGTTTTCAGCACACCCAACGATGCCACGAGGACGGTCGAAACACCAATGGTCTTGATCCACGGAAAGGTCGACGGTGGTGGAGATGGCATGGAAGGATGACCGTTGATGGTCCAATCGTAGTCCTGGAATTGATCGTCTATGACGTCCACGAGAGTGGGAAGGATGCGGTTCAAATAATCAAAAATGCTAAAATTAGCTTTTAACTAAATAATGGAGTTCACATTCATAATAAAGCCTGCTTTCAACCAAATATGTTCAATTGTTTTTAGAATTACAACGTTTCCACAAAATATGATTCTCAATTCCTTGATTTTGATTTGAACCCTCCCAATTGAGGCTTGGGCCATTATTTTCTTGTGAGTGCTCATTTGGTTGCTTGAAATTAGAAGATTTGTCTCAAACAATGATGTATTTAATAAATTATGATACTTGATTAAGTGATTCTACATGTCAAAATTGTTGATTTCATGTTCATAATAAAAAAAAAAGTGAGAACAAATTTATTGCTACCTCATTTGCTTGCATCCATTCATATGATAATACAATCTATCAAATTTCATCATTTTAGAATTTACATTTTCTATCATCAAGCAGCATGAAGCATATTTTGTAGAAGGAACCCCTCAAATTTAAATATTTTGTTTTAACAAACAAACAACAAGAACAACAATAAGCCTTTGTCCCACTACGTGGGGTCGGCTACATGAATCCTTTTTTGCCATTGTGTCCGGTTAAAAATCAAATTCTTATAAGGATTCATGTCATGATTATTCGACAAGTTTTACGCCAGCTGTCGACAACTTACCTGTGGTGCCCCAAGATCAACTTGGAAAGAATGTCAATCAATTTCACAACAATTTACCAGAGTTATCTATAAACCTTCAGTAAGCAATCTATCAAACATCTATAAAATTTAAACATCAATATTCAAGTCGATTCATATCTCAAAACATCATATACAATACTCAGGAACTAAACTATCAATACAAGTAGAGAAATCTATCCTGTCCTGAGTACAAAAGAATCATCTATCGATCAAAAGACAAAAACCTGAAGATCTGGATCAATTCCTATCTCCTGCTCCCGAGCCCTGACCTGAAAATATCAACCACATATAATGAGCTTTACAAAGCCCAGCAGGTCACCTAATACCTATAACTGAAATCAAAGCACGGCGATGCTATCAATATGCATGTCAATCTATCAATCTGAATCAGTCAATGGTCAATGAGTCTATACAGTGGAAATCAAATCAGTAGTCGATGCAATCCGAAAATCAATAGTCAATAAAACCAGTCAATGCAGCGGCAGACAAATCAATCATTTCAATTCAATCAATCAATATCCGTCAATCAAATCAATACGGTCAAATCAATGAAATCAGTCGACAAAAGCAATACGGAACAATGAATCTATACGACAGTCAATACGGTACAGAAACAGTAGGCAGTAGTACGATGTCCATGTTCATGCTATCAATACAGTATCTATATCTATCAATGTCCATATCAATGCTCAGTATTCTGATTTGTTCTGTTTCGTTCTGATATGTCCGATTTGATATCTGTACGATTCTGTTCCGATTTCTGATCTGATTTCTGTCTGATGAGTTTGGTTTTGGATTCTGAGAGTTTTGATTGGAGGTTTGTTGCTTTGCTGAGCTGTTGAGCTCACTCTTGTTTTCTGGTGGTTTTCAGGTTCTGGGAAAGGGAAGGAAGTCCAGGAATAGATTCAGAGTCTGATCAGTATAGGTATTTGTTTGTACCTTTTTGATTTTTGTATAGTCATGGCTTTTCTGTTCTGTCTTTCTTTCTGTTCAAAAGCCATGTACTGTATTTGTAGATGATTGTTTTGAGGAAAAGAAAAATATAGATGTTTTGTCCCGCTGCATTTGGTGACTTATAGTAGCTCTGTTGTTCTGTGTTTGTGTGTTGTTTTGAGTTAAATATTTGGAAGATTCAGTTCAGAACCAAACTCCAAAACCAGATCCTGGTCAGTTCAGTGTGTTCCGCATTCCGTGTCGCGGCCCGGTGCGAGCGGGATCCGTCCCGGATCGGGTCGGGTCGTGACATATACCACGAGTCACGGACTCTTCCAATGACTGGTGGGTATTGCGCTCGCCCTTACCTTGGGCTCTCTTTCTTCTCTCTAGTGCACACACAAGATGACGAAGAAGAAGACAACAACAAAATTTTCATTCCAAAATATTCATCCCCCTCATTACAATAGAAATGACCTATATATAGGTCTCAACATAAAAGAAAAAACAACGACTAAATTGCCCTCAGGGCTACAACATGACTCAGCTCATAATAGGGGTACAATAGGAAGACTCCAAGAAAATAAAATGCATAAATATTTAAAAATATAAACTCTGAATTGTGGCCGTCGATCTGCGATGCTTCCGGCGATACACATGTTTTAACCTCTAATCGATGTCCTCATCAGTATAAGATTTACTTGAAATCTTCAAGTGTTTCCTATCAAACTGCTAATAAAGTTTCCTATCTATATAAATAGTTAAAATAAATCAATACTAATAAAAATATATGACAAAATAAAATGGTGAGCAACATATGCACACACACTACTAGATCAGTTCGATGCTGATGGTTAGATGTCCCTTGGGTTTGTCGTTAGGATTTGACATTGGTGTTTGACGTCGTCGCGAGTTCGACGCTATTACAGGTTCTAAGTTGGGCTTTAAAAATGCTGAGGGTTTGAAGCAGGTTTCGAAGCTGAAGTGGGATTTGCAGTCAGGGTTCAAATCCGCTGAGGGTTCCAGTCAGGGGGTCAAGTTGATGATGGTTCGAAGCTGATGGGTGTTTTCATTGTTGAGGTTTCGACATGTCGTTGCTCGATTCGTAGATTTTGATTTCACTTAATTTTTGTTATTTCTGAATATAGCCTCTCGTCATCCTTCTACAATCCCACGTTTACTTTTTTTCTGTTAATTTTTAACGGTGAGACCAAAATAATTCTATTTTGAAGAATTGAGAGATCAAAATGGTCCCTCAACTTAGTTGGGTATCATTTTGATCATTCCTAAAGAGCCAATGGATCATTTTGATTATTTTCTCTTTTAGAAATCAATGGGTTTTAAGTTTCACGAATCTCTAAAATTTTGATTGGTGGGAACTTCATGTAATACTTACACCCTTTCAAGTCCCTTAAGATGTGAGGATTTTTTTTTTTAACATACAAATGACTGGTGCCGAATGTTGGCCATTAAAAGAGAAGCATAATACTAAGTTAAGTGTGGCAGAGATGAGGATGCTCAGGTGGATGAGTGGCTTTACCCTTACCCTTAGAGATAGGATACGAAATGAGCATATACGTGAAAAGGTTGGAGTAGCTCCAGTAGAAGATAAGATTAGAGAAAGTCGCCTTAGATGGTTTGGTCACATAAAACGGCGGTCTTGCGATGACCCGGTTAGGAGAGTAGAGGTACTAGATTTGACTTATGTTAAGAAAGGTAGGGGTAGACCTAAAAAGACTTGGTTAGAAAATATTAGGATTGACCTTTCTTTATTAGATTTAAACGAGAATTTGACTTTTAATAGGACACAATGGAGAAAAATAATTTATGTAGCCGACCCCACGTAGTGGGATAAAGGCTTGATGTTGTTGTTGTTGTATACAAATGACTGGAAAAAAATATCAAAAATGCTAAAATTCGCTTTTAACTAAATAATGGAGTTCACATTCATAATAAAGCTTGCTTTCAACCAAATAGGTTCAATTGTTTTTAGAATTACAACATTTCCACAAAATATGATTCTTAATTCCTTGATTTTGATTTGCACCCTACCAATTGAGGCTTTGGTTATTTATTTTCTTGTGAGGGCTCATTTAGTTGCTTGAAAGTAGAAGATTAGTCTTAAACAATGATGTATTTAATAACTTATGATACTTGATTAAGTGATTTTACATGTCGAAATTGTTTATTTCATGTTCATAATAAAAAAAAGTCAGAACAAATTTATTGTTACCTCATTTGCTTGCATCCATTCATATGATAATACAATCTATCAAATTTCATCATTTTATAATTTACATTTTCTATCATCAAGCAGCATGAAGCATATATATATATATATATATAAAGTACTACCACTATCAAACTTGTTTAAATTCCCTTCAATCAAATATTAGATTTAGGCTTCGTTTGGGGCGGCTTTTTTACTGCTTCTTAAAGCAGCTTTCTAGTACAAAATTTTTAATTTTTGTACTAGAAAGCTGCTTTAAGAAGCAGTGAAAAAGCCGTCCCAAATGAAGTCTTAGGCTTCGTTTGGGACAACTTTCTTACTGCTTTTTAAAGCAGTTTTTTAGTATAAAAAAGCTACTTTAAGAAGCAGTAAGGGAGCTGTCCCAAACGAAGCCTTAAATTCATAATAAAATCACTTCCAATCAAATATATTGAATTGATTTCTGAATTACAACTTGTTAAAATCAATGCATTGTAATTCTTTGTAGATTTATTTTCCTAAATGCAGGAATGGAGTAAATGTTAAAGGTTACTTTGTTTGGTCATTTGTTGATGTTTTCGAATTCCTAACTGGCTACCAAACAAACTGTGGACTTTATCATGTGGATTTTAATGATGATTCAAGGCCAAGAACTCCAAAACTTTCAGCACATTGGTATTCCAATTTTCTGAAGAATAACTGTGATGAGGCCTTCAGCATTGAGAGAACAGATCTTCAGAATTTGCTTTATTTCTCTTAGTGATTCTTGCTAGAATAATATATATATATGGATTACTCAAAGTACAATTTGTCATGAATAAGATTTTATTTAGGACATCTTTTTTACTATTTTGTTTTTCAAAACACAATTACTGCTTATATTTTATCATTATTTTTTTACCGTTTTAAAGAAATTTGTGTACTAATAAACTGCTTTTTACAATCACTTTTGTAATGAGTTACAACTGTCACAAAAAGACCCTAAGGGTTCATTTGGAATGACTTTCTTATTGTTTCTTAAAACAATACAAAAAATTTAATTTTTATACTAAAAAGCTACTTTAAGAAGTAGTAAGAATGTTGTTCCAAACGAAGCCTACGGCTTGGTTTGGGACAGCTTTTTTATTGCTTCTTAAAGCAATTTTTAGTACAAAAATTAAAAATTTTGTACTAGAAAGCTGTTTTAAGAAGCATAAAGAAAGCCATCCCAAAGGAAGCCTAAGTCTATCAAGATTTCTATTTCAAAATAATATTTGTTGCAGATGTGGAAACTTGTGACTGATCAGTATGACTTTGTTTTACTGGTAACATTTTCCTGGCAGAAATATTTTAGGTTCTGTATGGTATGAAACATTCTTTTGGTTAATGAGAATTTTCATAATAAACTCCATAAATATTGCTAATCTTTTTCATTAAATTTTTATTTGTGACAACTTTTATATTGCTTTCTAGAACTTTCTAGTATAAAAATTTTTGTATTAAAAAGTTATTTTAGAAAATATTAAGAAAGTTGGCTCAAATAAAACTTAAATTTGAATGATAGGTAGTGAACCTCTTCAAATAATAAAACTTTATCGGACCACAACATATAAATTTGATCTATTATTCATTGCTGACATAACTATCACTCATTTTCAGGATTCGAACCCGACCCGCTTCGGGTTAAGGTTAACTCAAACTCGAAATTTTCGGGTCAGGTACAATGTTGACAGGTCTATGGATGATACATTCTTATTGTGCAAGCATGATTTGGAGCTATATTTTAGTAGATTATGTGTTATATATTTCAGTTTAATATAAAAATTTAGCACTGATAGATAAAAGTTTTAAGATTTAAAATTTTTTATGTGAAAATTTTAAAAATGGAAAAGATCATGGGGTCTGGCATAGGTGTAATAAACAATAGTGCAATATGAGGTATTAGGTTTCATTTTTCTACACAATTAAAGATGGGAGTATGTGTAGTTGAGAATTTTTTTTTTTATTTTCATTGTAGAGATTATAAACATTTGGTGTTAATTAAAACTAAAAATAGGATTGGATGTTCGTAGACAATCAACAATAGTCAGATGATAGAAATTTGGCAATGGTGGGGACGGCTGTTGATTGTATTTGTCGGTGATGATTGTCATAATATGCAATAGAGTTCTTTAGTTATCTCAGCCCTTGAAATTCACCTCAAATAAAAAACGTGGCCCTATTTATTACAAGTTGGGAGGGCATTTTGATAAATTTAATTAGAATTCAAAATATTGCATCAAAGTGTTCATATTGATCATCACAATCATATATTATTTATCTAATATTGAAGTGCTTTAATGATGTTGGAATAGAATGACATTAGGCTCCATGGATTCTTCCTATTGAGTCAGCTAAATTTGACTATAAGCTTGCAAATTTTGGAGCCTATTTTGTCATTAAATTAATACAACAACAATAACAACAACACCAAGCTTTTACCCCACTATGTTGGGTCGGCTACATGAATCCTTTTTCTCCATTGTGACCTATTAAAAATTAAATTCTCATTTAAATCTAATAAAGAAATGACATTTCTAGTATTTTCTAACCAAGTTTTTTTAGGTCTACCTCTATCCTTCTTAACATAAGTCAAATCTAATACATCTACTTTCATAACCGGGTCATCGAAAGACCGTCATTTTATGTGACCAAACCATCTAAGACAACTCTCTCTAATCTTATCTTCCACTGGAGCTACTCCAACCTTTTCACGTATATGCTCATTTAGTCTCATCTCTCTAAGAGTAAAGCCACTCATCCATTTGAGCATCCTCATCTCTGCAACACTTAACTTAATATTAGGCTCCTCTTTTAATGGCCAACATTATGCATCATAAAACATTGCACGTCATTGAATTAATGTAGAAAATTTTTACATCAAAATTCGAGCAGCTCTAAATTTGATTTTGAAAATTATAAATTTAATTATTATCTCAAAATTCAAGTTGAGGGAATAAATTCTTTGGAGAAGCATCAATTATAAATCATCATCTTTAATGATTTTTATTGATGAAATAAGTTTCTAATTTTAGCCCTACACCATGGTATTTTGTATGACGTAAAAATCTCTTGATTCCCACAAGTGTAAGCCCAATATTATCATAAAAAGATAAAAAAGAAATCTCTTGTTCCTTTATAAAATTTATTCCATTTAAGCAACAATAATCATTAACCTCTCTCTCTCTCTCTCTCTCTCTCTCTCTCTAACTTTACCAATATAATATTATCACATCAAAATGTTAATTACTTTATGTCACTGTTTTTACTATCTAAATTGCTGTTGATGTCAGGTTGAAATAACCCAATATTTTATTTGTTTTTTTTATTACTATCAGTGCTATTACATTCTTTTCAAAGAAAAGTTCATTGTTTGATAATGCTTCCATAAAAGCATGTGACTATTTCCAACCAAATTGTGGGCCAAAATGTGATACAAAAGGATCATTTAGAGGAGAGAGATGGTTTAGCTTTTTGCATGGCATAGTTAGCTCCAATGTACAAATCTTTCAACAATTTGATTAAGACTTATGGTCCTCATTAGAAAGAGCATTAGACTACTAATAATCATTTACGTGCTACATATCTTATCAGTGATCACTGCTAGTTGATTCACGCTGAGTTTTATCCGAGCAAAGCACACTGCTAGTTGATTCAAATGGGCCCATGCTGACAAAATTATCTCAGCAACTCTTAAAAATTTTTTACATCATAAACTCAATTTGAAATAAACTCAATTTGAATGATCAAATCAAAAGAATATTTGTTAAAAAAATATAAGGGGGATTTACATAAATACCACTTTATTTCATGCTATTTACATATCTAACACCCAAAATTTTAATATTACATTCCTACACTCATATAAAATTTTAATATCAAATATATTACTCATATATTTCATTTTTATCATCCATACCACCATATAAACTTAAATATTTCATTTCATACACCTATATTTGTTATATGGGTCGTAGACATATAAAAGTATAGTTTTAGGCATTAGATATGTAAATATCATGAAATAAAGTGGTATGTATGTAAATCCCCTAAAATAGAAAATGTCATTAAATTTTTACTTTTGTCCCATAATAAAATTATATTAATTTCTACTTAATTATCATTCCATTATGATCAATTGCCTTACATTTCTAACAAAAAAGAAAAAACACAAATGCCTTAGACAATTTTATTTTCAACCAAGCTTGTTGCAAGGAAGGTGGAAGAGCTCTTTATACAAAATAAGTAGGGGCCTTTGGCTTGAATTTGACTCCAAATAAGATTCTTTCTTGTAATAGAATCATCATGTGAGGAGATTGAGAGCTTAAGCCTAAAAGAAAGAAAGCTATTAGGTAAAGTGGCAATAACAACTTGATTTTCATACTATTTTGTTAGAGGAGTTGGCTTATTATATAGCAATAATTTAATATTAACAACTAGCATTGCTATTTATTAGTGGATTGAGCAAATCATGAGATATTCTTCTTCTATTTATATTGGTTTAATATATGAACTCAACATAGCAAAATGATTAAAATTTTCAAAGTAATTTATTGCATTAATTATTTTTATATAGTAAATTAAAAATAATTATTGTATTTAAGAGATTTAGGGGGTTTAAAATCATCAAATAAAGCTATTGAAAAACCTTATAATTACATCTCCATTAATTAAACTATAAACTCTCTCAAATCCAAGCATTAATTAGATTGGTAATCACAACTAAGAAAAAAAAATCATTTGTTGCTTCTTCAAGTAACCAATTGAATGTTTGAGGCATGCACTATAAAAGAAATATTACCAATATTTTAAGCATTAGGCTTGTTGGCCTTTTTGGTAAATATTTTTTTGCATTTTATTATTATTTTATAATGTTGTTGGCATGAATATGAAATATTATTTAATGAAGTTGAGGAAAGGGAGAGGTTGCTTGTGACATTTTTGCACATGATGTGGACTTCAATATTAAATTTATTAAATGATAAGATTTTATATTAAACTTAATAGCTCATAATGGTAGTTTTACTATATTTTATTCATTTTTAGTTTTTAATAATGAGCTCAATGGTCTTTGATTCTTAGAGAGAGATGGCTTTCAAAAAAAAAAAATAATGAGCTCAAGGGTCTTTGATTCTTAGAGAGAGATGGCTTCCAAAAAAAATATTTATTTTCTTATAAAATAAAATAAATATTTAACAAATTTATAAAAAAAAATCTTAAAATCTAAGATTTTAATAGGAAAATTATTTTACAAAATTAAAAAATTTTATTTTATTATAAGTTTAATTTGTTGAATAATAGCCTTGAAAAAAGTGTGTATTCAACCTAACACATCAGTAATATAGCTTTAATATTAATTAAGCATGTGAGAGAGAAGGATGTCAAAAGTTTAGTTAGATGTTCTTTTTCTTTCATGAATAAAATAATTTCTATTAGTCCAAATTTATATTCATACACCAACTATTTAAATTTTAGAAAGAAGCCGGACATTTCTTAAAATTAGTTTAAGGAGCGCATTTTAAAAAAAAAATTAAAAAAGGAGTAAAAAAATTTTTATAAAAATAGAATAAAAATGTAATGAAATATTATTTTCATTTTCATTACATTTATATTTTAAATGGCCTAAAAAATTAATTAAAAACTAATTTTATACTTATTTATTTTAATTAAAAAGTATTTATAAATAATTATTTAATAAATTAAATTACTAATTTTAAAAATAAAATTTACATAATATTATATATATATCTTTCTCTCTTGTTTTTTCATGATATGGCCCTCTCTCTCCCCCTTTTCTCTCTCCGCCTACTTATTTCTCTCTCTCTCACTCT